TTGAAAAGCCCATCTCAAAAAACGCTTAGATGTTAAGGAGTGCTTATCTGAAAAGTCCTGAACTGTGTGCTAAACAACCACAAAAATCAGCTAGGTATCAGAAAAGGTTAAGAAAGGGATATTACGCAGGATGCCAAAATAAAGAAAAAAGAAAGAAAGAAAGAAATCAAAAGCAACGAATTAAATAAAAACTAAAAAACAACCCCCCTTGTACTAGTATCTGGATTGGTTAAAAAAGAAATTCTACTGAGCTTGATTTCTGATTGAATTATCATTAGATGTAAAATGCAACCTAAATCATATTAGGTTACCTCGGGGTTGTGTTTTTTTCTCACCACAAACATGGATCCTTCATTCATGTGGGTATTTGGGCAGACTACTGAGGCTGTAAAATCTAGATACCACTTTTTCAATATTATAATTACTTAAACACACTTCTTTCCTTACTTCTCCCAATAAACAGATCTTGAATACTTTAAACTAGTTGCTGCAACGACATCCGGTCGTTAGTTAGCACATGATCAAATCTGTAAAAGGTTTTAAGAATACAAAGAAAGTCTGTTAAAATGAGGCATCCTCTACTGTTTTATGTAATGTACCCTGACTGCTCCTGAGTAAGAACGGAGCTTGTCCTCCATGAGATAAGGCTATATCCTCACTTGTTGGTGAGACCAAATTCTACCCTTAGAAAATCCCAAATAAAATTACAGCAAAGGTAGTGTTACAAAGTAATTAACCAAAGCATTTCTGAAGGTAGTGTGTGCACATTTTCCACCTCCTTTCCCTCCGGGTGAGCACTAAATAGACTGCTGATTTGTTAAGTAAATTTAATAGTGAGAAGAAAATCACAAAACGTAAATTGACCTAAATAATTATGTGTCATTGAATAACCAAATTTCTTAAATTCCAAGGTTCATTGTTCTTAGAATTTTTTCTTTAGTTTAATCCTTCAATTAGTTGAATTGTAGAAGAGAAACATGAATGATTTTATAAGATGGCTTTCCAATTTGTAATGATAAAGCTCCCAGTATGACAGAGGTGGTTTCTAAAAGGGGGCTTTTTTTCTTTTTTTCTTTTTTTTTTTTTTTTTTTTT